TTCTTTTCTTTTACTTTCTAAAACTAAAATTCTAAATTAAGTTACAAACTAAATTAACTTATTAAAAATACTAATTAATTCCTAGCAACAATTATCATATAAAATGAAATGACAATTAAAATACAATCACACAATTTGGACATTAAAGGCTAAAAATGCAAAAAGATGCCTATTTTTGTAATTTTCATTCTTGTAAAACAAACTTAATTACTCATAATTGCAAACTTAAATCCTAAATGCAAATGCGACATATTTTTGTATTTTTTATTAATTTAGCAAATAAACATGCACAGACAAAGCAAACAATACAAGAAAAATAACACAAAATTCACAACAATTGCAAACAAACAAAAAAATGTTTTATTTTTGGAATTTTTGGGAGTAATTCTCATATAGGGCAAAAATCACGTGCTTACACAACTTACATGACTTGTTGTGTTGCTTCGAAGAGCTACTCAATGTCTTGATATTACTCTTTGACTTGGGCTGCAGTAGTACACTCGCACAATCATACACCGTAGCATGCCAATTATAATAGCTCAGCAGTATGAAACTTGACATTTATTGAAAATGACCATGTGTTCTTGTATTATCTATTTTCATGTTGTTATTGAGCCTGTGACCATGCCAGGCGGATTGTGATTGTGAGCCTGTGACCATGCCGGGCAGATTATGAATGTGAGCCTGTGATCATGCCGGGCGTATTAAGATATTGGCACGTGAGTTGTCCGTGCAGTTGTGATTGAGATGTGGGCACAAGGTGCCCTAACCACATGATGGTGGGTTGAGACCCGTGGCTTGTGACTATGAGATGAAGTATCTCGGGTAATTTTGTTGCAAACTTGTGTTAGAATGGATTGATTAATTGGTTGTTATTTGTGTTCCTTATTTGGTTTCACCGGTAAGTTCATGGTGTTCTTGTTGCTTTATTGTTTATATCACACATCCCCAGTCTCCTTGGCCATCTGTAGCCTGATACCAAAAGCAAGACCATCAATGAATCTTCTCACTCTCTACCTCTCAGTAGAAAGCAAGACAACTGCATGACGAGCTAAATCCATGAATCTAATCTCATACTGGGTAACAATCATTCTACCCTGCTAAAGGCGCTCAAACTACCTACGGTAATACTCTCTTAGAGTGAAAGGAATGAACTTCTCAAAAAATAACTGCGAAAACTAATCCCAAGTGAGTGGCAGTGAACTTGCTGGTTTGCTCCGCTCATTATCCTGCCACCATCTCTTTGCAGAACCGATCATCTAAAACAATACAAAGTCAGATTTATTGGACTCTACAATACCCATATTGCGTAATACCTCGTAGTAACGGTTCAAATAATATTGCGGGTCCTCAGAAGGTGTACCACCAAAATGAATAGGAAAGAGCTTTGAGAAATTATCCAATCTTATCAATCCCTGAGAAGATATCGCGGGCCTCTCCCTGGTTTGTGTAGCAATAATAGGTTGAACCACTCCCACTACTGGAACCGTTTGAGTTTGATACATGATATCCATCTGCTAGGAAGTGTGAGTGGCAGGAGTCTAAGCTCCTCCCCCAGCCTGAGAGATAGCTGGTACTATAGGAAATACTTCGGCCTGGGCCACACTCTCCATAAGGCCTACCAAACAAACTAGAGCGTCCTAAAGTACGGGAGTAGCAATAAATCCCTTAGGGACTTGAGCGGGTCCGAATGGAGCAGTCTGAACAGAGATCTCCTCCTCATATTCGATCTGAGGCCCTACAACGGGTGTTGCTGCACGTGCTCCAGGCTGAGCTCTACCTCTACCTTGGCCCCTACCCCTATTAGTTGCTGCAATAGAGGGCTCAGGTTCCTGCCCGACTGTAGATGTTTTGTGTGTTCTCACTATCAACGAGAGAGAACAGGAATAGAATGGTTCAAACTTTAGTAATAGAATAAAGTCACACAAAAGAGAATGAAAGAAGTGAAGTTTTCCTAAAGCTTTATAGCCTCTAGAAGATAAGTATAGACGTTTATGTACCGATCCTCTAAACTCTACTAAGCTTGCTCATGACTCGCGAAACCTATGCAACCTAGTGCTCTGATACTAACTAGGCACGACCCAGAATTCACAACCTCGGGACCATGATGGCGCCTAACATCTACTTGCTAGACAAGCCAACGTTTTTAAATTAATTAACCAGTTTTAACAATTATTACAAGGTGATGATAATTAACGATTAATAAACCCAGAAATGAACACATATTAATATATATAACGCAGTGCTAAACTACTACTAGAAATTCGGAGTCACAAGTACATGAGCAACTAATATACTACAAATATGATTTGAAATAAATTACAACTGTTTGAAACTAAATAAACAGTAAAACATGATAGAAAGGGGACTTCAGGGACTACGAACGCCACTAGTTCTACCTCAAGTCTCCGAAAGCAGCTGAATCCGAGCAGTCTCTCTACGGGCCGCTGGGACCAACACCAGTATCTGCACAAGAAGTGCAGAAGTGTAGTATGAGTACAACTGACCCTATATACTATGTTAGTGGCGAGCCTAACCTCGACGAAGTGGTGACGAGGCTATAACAAGACACTATCAATAAATATGTACAAAAGAATAATGACAGTAATAGAAATGGAATATAAAAAGTAAACTCAAGTAACCGGACTCGTATGTCAACTACCAGAGGGCCCCACAATAATACTTTTTCTCAACTTCTCCAAATAACATGGTATAGTTACAACAATCAAACACAATAAAATAAGTCTTCTCCGTTGCGGCGTGCAACTCGATCCATAAATATATATAAGTATCAATCTTCTTCGTTATGGCGTGCAACCTGATCCACAAATATATATAAAGAAATACCGTTGCGGCGTGCAACTCAATCCCACCATATCATCATATGTTCATACCATATTTTGTCCTTATCTCTTCACATCACATCATTTTAATACCGTTGCGGCGTGGAAGCTGATTCCAGCAATAACAATAATTACTGTTGCAACGTGTAATCTGATCCGATGCAATGTGAATTAAACGAACAAACTACAATCAACAACGGCATATCACAAAAAATAACGTAATAAAGGAACTAAACAAATAAGGTCACAAAGCGGATAAATAGTTGTATGAAAGCCCACAAAATCAAATAGCAAGTAACGACAGTTAATAAATAAAGACACGGATACAAAGAATCAATTAACAATTATGGCATGTAACGGATAAGGGCATGAAATCAACAACTAGTTACAATTAACAATTAAAGCATTTAACAAATAAATAAAATAGATTAAATAAGGCAAGAATAATTGTAAACAATAAATAAATATCCCAACCCGCATACTTAACCTACGACTACATTTATACACGTGTCACCTTGCATATACGTCGTCCACCACACATTAATCAAGTACCAATTAAACCAATCAAGTCCTAATTCCCTCAAGTTAAAATTGGGCACAACACTTATCTCTTTTTGCAATCAAATCAACACTCAACCACGACCTTTCCTTTAGAATTAGCCTCCAAAACGGTCAAATCTAGCCAGATATAATTTAAATAATTCAAAATAATCTTTATAAACAACCCACAAGTGAAAAAAATTCGATCTTTGATAAAATTGAAAAAAGTCAACAAAGGTCAACCTCGGGCCCGCTTGGTCAAACTCGAGATTCGGACCAAAACTCGATTACACATTTACCCCCGAGCCCGGTCATGTGATTTGTTTCGAAATCCGACCTCAATTTGAGGCCTAATCTCAATTTTGTAAAATCCCAAATTTTTACCCAAATCCCTAGTCTCTACCATGAAAATCCTAGATTAAAGGTTAAAATAAATGGGTGATTATGGAAATATAACAAAACAAGTTAAAATTCGCTAACCAGTGAAGTCGGGATGAAAAATCTTTTCAAAATCGCCTATTGGCCGAGCTCTAACTTCAAAAATAGTAAAAAAATGGCTCAAACGCCGACTTTCACCTATTTTAATACCTGGGTGTCAGGTGTTCTTCGCGTTCGCGAAGCACGTGACGCGTTCGCGATGCACTGGCCTTCTCCTCTTAGACCACTTACAACATATGTTATTTAGTTTCTTTTGTTTGACACAACTGAATCCGGCTGATAAGTCTAATTTGCGTAGATTGCATTGCAGCAGGAAAGAGCCTGTCCCTTACCGAACGATAATTGAAAGTAATAGCTTTACTGCAGATTTCCCTAATCACTTGTGTTGTTTTCTTTTGTCCTGCTTTACTCCAAACTTGGTCTCTTTTATCCGCGATATTATCTTATTGCATCAGTATCACATTGTCTGAATATCTTTTACACTGACATGATAGGGTTACTGCCACATAAATGGCAATCTCAAGAATCAGTTTGTTGAAGTAACTATTGATGTTGACATAAAATTGAAGATATTAGTACAATCATCTCACAGAACTAGCTTTCGCGTCAGGTTGGGCTGAGGGCTGCTCTGGACTTACTGCTGCTTGTTTCTTATTCTTGTTCTTTTTACTGGAATTGCTGCTGTTGTATACCATTGATTGGGTAGATGTATGGTTTTACAATGATTATAGTGTCAAATTTTGCAGGTTAATGAACTTTTACATGGGGAAAAAACATTTTCTCTCTTTCTGATGTTCTGCATGTCAATTGACTTCAATTTGTCTGCTGCTATTAAAAATATACCATAGACGTGAACTTCTATAATTATGAATTCAACAAACACGCATTCTAGAGAAAAAGTGATCTTTCGTCACCAACGATTTGCTATTATACTCTTGTAGTAATAACATAATTGCAGATCTTTGGATGTTTCTCTAAGACAACCTTTGGTTCTGTTTAGCGTGAGAAACTGTAAAGGGTGCAGTGTGTTGAACATTTCTTCTCCAAACATTCAGCCATCGAGTATATGAATTAGAAATATAAGGATTAGAAAGAGTAACTTTTAAGTAGTAGCACCGCATTATTCTCTTTTAAGTTACTCTGATTAGAAGTTCAAAATAAGTGGAGCAAGAGGAGACAGAGAAAGAAAGGGGAGGGGAGACTTTAATTGAAATAGGGGTAGAGCTCCTCATACAATTAGACTTTTCTGAAAGGTTTTCTTAGATTTTTTGTAGCAGTCGGTGACAAATTTCTTCTTTTACTTTTACGTGTACCTTTTCGTCTCATAGATAGTTGTGTTCCCTTATCCAATTGTACACAATTTCCATTATTTTCTGCACATACATACTAGCACAATCCTTCTTTACTTGTTGTTACAAACTTACCAAATTAGAAACACTCGTACTGACAATTAATTTTAAAAAGATAGATGAATACCCATCTATCTAGGAGTATTAAACAATGATCAACCAAGATAAAACATCTTAGATTTTAATAAAGCTCAGGTGTCAGGCGAGGCGTAATTACCACTTCTATAGGATTTACCTTACGTATAGTTAATCCTGCACCTTCCTTCATATCCAAGGGCTCGTCATTTGGAGTTTTGTAATTGAAACCCTGGATCAAGTGTGCGATTGTTAGGTGTTCCACTTGCATTGCATAAGTCATCCCCGGACAAGATCGTCTTCCAGAACCAAATGGGATAAACTCATAGTGTTGACCACGAAAGTCAATATCAGCAGCGAAAAATCTCTCTGGATCGAACTTATCAGGATTTGACCAGAGTTTAGGATCGCGCTGTAATTTCATAACGTTCGCGAATAGTCTAGTCCCTTTAGGAATGTGATATCCACTAACAACACAATCCTCTACATTTTCATGGGGTACTAATAAAGGTCCCGGTGGATATAATCGTAACACTTCTTTAACAATAGTTTGGAGGTATACCAAATCCTTAATATCACTCTCTTCTACCCATCTATCCTTACCAACTTTTTTATCTATCTCTTCTTGCGCTTTCTTCAAGGCATGTTGATTGTTTATCAATAATGCCATTCCCCAATTCATGTGAAGAGCAACTGTGTCCGCAGCATCCAAGACTAAACTCTGTGGACAAATTAGAATAATTCAATACAAAAATAGGTTAGCGTCACTATCTGCTGAACCTTGTTCTAGTTAGTATAGTAATTGTCAAGTATCGACATCTCATTATACTAATGAATTTATTTTTTTCTGAAATTTAAAATTCATTTATTTCAGCTCTTCTCTTAGAGATGTACGAGGGCAAATTTATCTAGTGTAAAATCAAATAGTGTTTTATACCTTACTTGTATATTTCATTTTTAATTAAAAAAAATATATTTACCCAATAAAAAAAGCATATCCTATAAATAATCATGTTATTATTTAATACCCGTATTATATAATTTCAGTATAACTTATTCGAAAACCAAATAATATGTATATTAGCTTTGACTCTATTGCTGCTAAAAAGCCAAGAATCAGCGCGACCTGATTCAAGCACAATTATTATTAGAAATAAAAAAAAAACATGAATCTATATTAACAAACAATCAAAGAATTTCTCCCTAAAAAAGAGAAGAAGTCCCTTTACTTTTTTTTGTTTTGTTATGCTCAATGGGAGTAATAAAGTTTTATTCTATCAATTATAATTGGTTATATCTCATTTTTTTAACCACAGAGTTTCATCAAGATCGAGCTTTGAAGAAAAGTCCCTATTGGTAGGAAGTGCTTTAACTCCCAAAGTTAGATTAGTCCGGGCATAAAAAATTATCATCCTTTTCCATTTATCATTCTATATTTTTGCCATATTTACTCATCCTTAGTATTTAGATAATCTAATTACTTAAATTACTATTAACCTGTCTATTCCTCAAAGAATAAATGAAAAATGAGATGAACTTACAAACACTGTTGCTTTTATGACAGTATCACGAGAGTAGCCTTCATCAAGATATTCATTACTCATTTTTGAAAGCACCACATCAATGAAATCTTGTTCATTTCCTTCTGCATTAACCTCCATTTTTTCTTTTTTCTTGACATGTTCCTCTAACCAATTCTGAAAAACAGAATCTATATCCTTAAATGTCCTTTTCATGGCCTTAACATGGCCTTGAAAATCCACCCATTTGAACAATGGAATTGGAAAAGCATCCCATAACACAAACTCCATTGATAAAATTATAAAATCCTTAAACGCTTTCCTAAATCTCTCCACTTGTTCATCTCCTTTACCGGATTCATAATTTTTCCCAGCGATCATTTTCACGATCAGACCAAAATTCAATTCTTCTAACCAATCGGTTAGATTTATCGTACTCGAATTTCCATCAATTCGAGTGTATAAATTCTTAATGCTCGTCTGAATTTCACCAAATCTCACGTGCTTCAATTTTTCGAGACGACTAGCACAGAGAACTTCCTGAATGACTAATTTTCTATTTTTTCGCCAGTAAGGTCCGTATTTTGTCAAAAATAGCATGGCATTATTGTAGCCAAGGTATTCGCCATAAAGAAAAGCTGGACGATTGGAGAAAATGGCATCATTTGTAGAGAAGCAGTCTTTTATAGCTTCGTAACTGCTTACAACTAACACAAGCGGAAGGCCTAGCCGAAAAGTGAAAACCGGGCCGTATTTGTCAGCTAAGTCTCCGAGTTTTCGTGCTAATGGACGGTCGTCGCTGTCGTCATCGAAATAGAAAAGATGGCCGATTACCGGCCACCCTCCGGGGATTTTCGGTGGTAATGGTTTTGAAGGTTTTTGAGATTTTTTGGTCCGTATGAAGTAGAAGAGAAGTGTAAGAGTTACTAGTCCTACGATGGCTTCTACGGGAGAAACCATTATGGATTTTTAGAAAAGCACTTGGGAATCAAACTATCACCAACTTCCCTTTTATAGATAATTTAGGGCTATGCATAATAATATGATAAATACAAAAGTAACAAAAATTGAAAATATTGGCTTTTGGTATTCGGTATTTTGGTATGATAATTGGTTTAAGTTTTTAAAAAAATTACTATTAAGAGGTGGTATTTGACATTTTTAAAATATAAAACCAAAATATATACTAAGTTACACAAAACACATATTATTAATTATAATATACTAAGATTTTTGAAAAATTCCCAGGAAACCTGCCGCTATTCTTCGAATGTGCATTCGATAACATGTTCAATGTCCAATAGCTCGCAAATCACACAGGAGATGTAAATGATATTAGGTATGCCCGATGCGACGAGCTCTGACTGAGAAGGCTAGCTGTTGGTGAGGGGAATTGATCCCAGGTTTTCCATGTGAAAAGTCACTCACCTAACCAACTCAGTCAATCCTTGGGGCTATAATATACTAAGTTACACATTATTCTTTTTTGGCATTCATGTTAAGGTTGGCAGTAAAATCCATGTACTTCTTTAGGAAAATAGAGGAATAAGGTAGGCTGCAGATTTTGACTCTTACTATCCAGGTTGTCAAACAATTTATCGTAACGTTACTAGGGTTTTAGGGTGTTTCTTACTCCATTGCTCGTGGATTGATGTTGTATCTGTTGGATTAGTCCTTATTTTATTCTCTAAGTTCAATAATTAACTCTAAGCAAGCAACAAGACATTTTTAATGATCAAATTTATTCTTTATAATATACCTTTTCTCATTCTATGTGCTGATACTTGCTGGTTATGGATAAAGTTTTTGTTGACCGTCAATTGAGCTTAGAACGTTTTTATTTTATATTTTTGACTACTTTAATTAAAAATTTTACAATTTATGGCTCTATGCACTAGTTAATATTCAAGTCGAACAACCGAAGTTGCGGGGCAGAATAAATCGAAATCGAATGGAAATAAACCGATCCATACCGAATTTAATTAGGTATGATTTTTGGTATATCATTTTAAGAAATTGAATATTAAAAATACCGACCCAAAATATCTAAATATCAAACCGTATTAAATGATGAACACTCCTAGGAAATTATATTCCCTCTGCTTCAGGTTGTGTAAACTTTTCAAGAGTGTGAGGGTCAAGTTAACTAATTTTATGTGTGAATTTGAGCATATATTCTCAAATTATATTTGAAATAAAATTACATATTTAGAAATTACATAAAAGTACCGTAAGTCACACTAGTGAACAATTCAAAATATTTAAAAAATATTTGCAAGAAACGTGGGAAGAAAACTTTATTTGATTTCCAAAATAGTAATAGTTTTATGTACATAAATTAAAATAGAGGAAGTATCATATTTTTGTGAAATCATTGGTATTTGATATCTACTGATATGATGAATTCAGATTCATACTATGTAAGAGAAAACACTAAGTTTGTCCATTTTTATAACTTCAACAAAATCTCTAGTTAAAGGTGATGGATCCTTCAATTACATATAATTTAATTTAGACATATCATGAATGTATCTTAATCAATTAAATAAAGTTATTTACTTTAGTGTATAAGTTACCAAATTAAACTTATAAAATATGTATTATTATGTGTCACTTTAATTTGATAATATGATTTACCAATGCCACACAGAATCAAGATTTAAAGTTTACATGTTAAGAATTCTAATCATTTTAAATTATTGAATTTTATATTAATAATTTATATATATTTAATAAATTTCTTAAGACAAATACAACATAGCAATACAATAAAGTAAACTCACTATATGTTTGGGATGATCCAATATGCGTGTACCACTAAGTGAATGGGACGTGTAATTTTGAGTTAAAGTAACACAAGATATCAGATATCCAACCAAAAGAAGTAGAACCACTGAATGTGTTATGAATGGGTCCTTTCAGGCATTGCAAATGAAATTCCACTTACTTCTTTCGTATCCAACCAAAAAATGTCAGTGAAATTTCAATTTCAAAAATTGCAGCGCCTCAATCTTTGTTCAACCCCACACGTGATTTTTTGTTTTTTGTTTTCTGGTTAAAGTTACTTTTTTCTTCAATCATTTACATTTTGATGGGCCATGTTAAAACTGTTTCTATAAGGAATTTGATTAGTGTTAAAACATGACACGGGTTCGAGCCGTGAAAGTAGCTGTTAATATTTGCATTGGATAGATTATCTATATCACACTTTTTAAGGTGTGGTCTTTTCTCGGACCTTGCATGAATGCGAAATATCTTGTTTGAAAGGAACAAACCCAGCGGTAAAAGAAGTAAAAGAAAGAAAACAAAAACTATAAAAGAAGACAAAGAGAGAAAGAGAAGAAAAAAACGTAAAAAAGTCAAAGTTGGCGGACTGCAATGTGAAAGAAGAATTTGGCGTGCAATTTGCGGTGCCGTCCTCTTCCTATTCACATTTGAAAATTTTCTTTCAGCAGACGTTCTGCCTATAAATAGGCATCTCGTTCCTCAGTTGTAAATCATTCCTCAACTTCTTCTTTTCCTTCAATTAATAAAGACCTATTCTTTGTGTGACCGTGGAGTAGGCAAAAATTACCGAACCACGTAAATCTTGTCTTGTCTTGTGCAATTTATTATTTTTCTCTTTTAAATATTTTTTCCTTCTATTGGCCTGACACGCTTCCCAACAATTGGTATCAGAGCAAAAACATTGTAATTTTGGTAGAAAAGTACGATATTGGTGCCGGTACTATTCACAAGAATAGTGCAACACTATTGATCATCATTACTAACACTATTCACAATAGTGAAGTACTGTTCATTGACAGTGATAGTATTGTTCACCAATAGTGATGATTATCTACCTTATATGGTTGGGATATTTTTTCTTATACAGAATAGTATTCGTCATTACTATTCACAGGCACTATTCACGTAAAAATAATTTGTAAAAAATGGAATCGAGAGAAGGGAATGTTAAGATTGACAAGTACAATGACAAAGATTTTGAATTCTTGAAAATACAAATAAAGGATTATTTGTACCAGAAAAAAATTACATTTACCTCTCACCGAGGTAAAACAGAGAATATGGCTAAAGCAGATTGGGATCTATTAGATCGCCAAGCTCTTGGTGTGATTCGTTTGACACTAACATGGAATATGGCGTTTAACATCATTAATGATAAGATCAAAGAAGGCACTATCAAATATGTAGGAGAAACCATCTGCTTCAAATAAAGTCTATTTGATGTGTCGATTGTTCAACTTAAAGATGACAGAAGGTGGATCTGTCACGAAACATATCAATAAGTTTAATATAATATTAACTCAGTTGAGTTCTGCTAATATAACATTTGATGACGAAGTCAGGGCATTGATTCTAGTATCATATCTACTGGAGAGTTGGTCTGCAACGGTAACTGCAGTTAGCAGTTCACCGAAAAAAATATCAAACTAAAATTGAATGATATTTGAGACTTGGTTTTAAGTAAAGATATTCACCGAAGAGAATCAAGTGATTCCACAGGATCTGCTTTTAATACTGAAAGCAGAGGAAACGCAACCAAAGAGGACAAAGTCATTGTTATGGCAGATCAAAGTCAAGGAAAAGAGGGCAATCTAAAAATCACAAGGATATTACTTGTTAGAATTGTGATAAAAAGTGTCACTACAGTAGTCAGTATAGAGAACCAAAGAAGAAGAAGGATGAAAATTCACCAAATGTAATTGATGAACAAGTCGGTGATGCAATAATTTATTGTGCAGATAGTCCAGTCGTGTGATGACCCGATAGGTCATCTTATGATTTAAAATCAAATTATGTGTTCGAGGCCTTTAAAACCTCATTTTATCCCTTCTCGATTTGTGTACGCAGTCGGGGTGTGTTTCCAGAAAGTTTTTGTGTTGAAAGTTGATAAAAATAAGAATTTTTTATTAAAAACTTTATTTGAGTAGACTTCGGTCAATATTTTTGGTAAACGGATCCAAATTCGTATTTTGACAGTCCCGATGGGTCCGTATAGAAATATGAGACTTGGACTATGCCCGGAATCGAATTCAGAGGTTCCTAGACCGAGTTATGAATTTTTGTTAAAAATAGAAATTTGAAAAGTTAATGGTTTTTAAGACAATATTGATGTTTGATCTTATTGGTATCAGGTCTTTATTTTGGTTCCGGAGCCCGGTATAGGTTCAATATAATATTTAAGACTTGTCTGTGAAATTTGATGAAAAACGGAATTGCTTTGATATGATTCGGACGTCTGGTTGAGAAAATAAAAATTTCAAAATGTTCTTGAGAATTTCATTTTATTTGGTACTAAATTCGTAGTTCTAAGTGTTATTTTGGCGATCTAATCGCTCGAGCAAGTTCGTATGATGTTTTAAGACTTGTATGCATGTTTGGTTTGGAGCCCCGAGGGCTCGAGTGAGTTCCGGATAGGCTACAAAGTGAATTGAGCTTAGGAATTCATGCTGGTGTGCTACAGGTCTGCAGACTTCGCAATTGCGAGTTCTGGCTTGCAAATGCGAGCCTCGCAATTGCGAAGAACCCATTGCATTTGCGAGCAGTTGGGTTGGGGGGTGGACTTTGCATTTGCAAAGTATTGGTCGCATTTGCGATCATCTCAGGCCGCATTTTTGAACAAATGTTCGCATTTGCGAAGACAACAGGGTTGGGGAACACTTCGCATTTGCGAAGAATTTCTTGCATTTGCGGTAGCTGTGTAAAACCTAAATTAGACGGGATTTTTGCTCATTTCTCAAAATTTTCGAAATAAGAAACCCACTAGGCAATTTTCCAAAGACCATTTCTTTCTCAAGTCATAAGTAAGTGATTCTTAACTAGTTTCTTTCAATCTTTCATTTCATTTTAAAAGATTCCAACCTAGAATTTAATGTTTTTTATGGTTGGATTGGGGAGTTTTGGGTAAAAACTAGTGATTTGATAAATTGGGGATTTAGACCTCAAATTGAGGTTGGATTCCAAAACCAATTAC